AAATACATAAATGTGTTGGGAAGTATTTTGAAAACTTTGACAAAGCGAGGGCACAATTATTTTAAATAACATTAGCACAAGGGTTCTAAAGATCAACATACTTTGAAGTTTGTAATTGGGTTTTTTTATATATAAGGAATAAAGCAGGAAACAACCAATAGAAGGAAAAGAAAGAGTCTCACCAGGTTAGGGTTTGTCCATAAATCAAATCTAGCACATTTCTAGCAATGTCAAATTCAGGCCTCTGTTTACTTTGTAACTTCTTCTCCAATATGATCCTGTAAAGAATAGGGAAAAAGCCTAGCTTAAAAATTCAAAAAACTGATTTTTGTGTTGCTATAATTAATATATAAGCCACCATATATTTTTTATTCGAAGTGTCAAACAAGTTATTTCATTTCTGGAATACTTGTCTACTAAATAACAAGATACATTTTTCAGACCCCCCCCCAAAGTTCCCACTTTAGGAGTTGACCCTTTTATGTTGGTATATACCCGGAGTAGCATTATCATAAGGGATTAACAACATAATCCTATTGGACCTTATTCTGAAACAAATCCAACGTACCTAAAATAATTAGAATTATATTTAGGACGACAGGTAGTCCTTGTTTAGCAGCTGTCTGTGGATACATGGTGATGAAAAAGTAACTTTGCAATGTTGGCTACAAGTCTCTGTCACCTGTTCATGGTTACAATCAGCTAATACGCATTATCCTGTGCCTGACCCTTTTTTTTTTTCTACCCCTTCCCTTCACACAGCAGAGATTGCCTAAGCAAGGTCTCTTTTCCACAGCTGCTTTTATAGGCAGTGCAACCCTCCTTAGAAATTGCTAAGGCAGGCATGTCAGACACGGCCTGCGGGCTGGATGTGGCCCGCGCATGCCACGCCCATCCCAGCCCCACAAGGGCAAAATAAGTCCTAATACATCACGATATGGCCCGCGATGCAATTGGGTTTGACACCCGTGTTAAAGGAATGTTAACAAGGGCAGCTCCATGACCTTAATTAATCAGCTTCCAGTTGCTGCCTGAAATTAATCAGAATCTAATCAGTTTCACACTAAAGATTTTTGTTTGCCTCCTTTGCAGCTTATGGCTGGCACTTCAACTATAGTAGTCCTCCCTTAATCACCATTCATTCAGCAATTGTTTGAAGTTATCAGAACACTGAACAAATGATATTTATGCCTCATCTTCAGAATTATGGCTATTGCGGTGCCTCTGCAGTCGTGTGATCAATAGGGCAGAGATGGGAAAGATGGGGGAGTGGGGGATCCGAAGCAGAGGAAGCATGGAAGGGCAGAAGCACAAGATCCTTGTTTAAGAACCACAAGCCAGCTTACTAAAATTGCTGTCACTAAGCAGTGTGGTCACATGATATTTCACTTAATGACCTCATTGCTTGGTGATGGAAATTCCAGTCCCAATTAGAGTCACTAAGCAAAGACTACCAGTAATGCATTCCTTTTGTTACATCTTCCTCCTTTCATGCCCATTTACTCTCTTGTAATTTCTTCCTCTCTAATGAATGTAAATAAAAACATCAATTCTCTTCTTGCTAACTATCCCAATGCCTGGGTGAGCACTCTAAAGGGCAGGGAGGGAGTAAAAAGGCTATAAGATTTGCCCTTTTACCTGGCTTCCTCACGACTCAAATTCTGGAAACCTTCCCTACCATTTGGTCTCACCTGGCAGTTGGGATCATATCCTTCTGATGCTGTAAAGCAAAGGAAAGTCGAAGTAAAATTATAAGCACTATCCCATGATTTTTCATTGTTTTACTTAATGACCGAGTTGCTGGTCCTAATTGTCACCAAACAAGGACTACCTGTATAATATTTGGGTCAAGTTTTTCTTCCCATTGCCCCAGATTGTTGGGGGCAATATGCTGACTCTGTAAACTGGTTAGAGAGGGCTGGTAAAGCACCGTGAAGCGGTATATAAGTCTAAGTGCTGTTGCTATTTCCTTCCCATTGCAATGAAGGGTAACTCTCGCTGTTTTTCTTTAATGCACGAAGATAGCATCCTATGCTCTTTCACAGCTACGTAATCTATATTCTTAATCTTGTTCATAAACATGCATAAACAAAGCGGTACAGGTAGTCTTTGACTTACAATCACTTGTTTAGTCACCATTTGAAGTTACAATGGCACTGAAAAAAGTGGCTGATGACCAGTTTTCGCACTGACGACCATTGGAGCATCCCCATAGTCGCGTGATCAGAATTTGCCTGCTTGACAACTGGCACGTCCGTATGATAGTTGAACTATCCCGAGGTCATGGGATCCCCATTTGCAACCTTCCCAGCTGGCTTCTGATCAGTAAAATTAAGGGGGAAGCCAGATTCGCTTAACGACAGCATGATTCACCTAACTGTGACAAAAAGGTTGCAAAAGGGGCACACAACTCACTTCACAAATGTCTTGCTTAGCAACCAAAACTCTGGCTCAATAGTGACTGTAAATTGAGACTACCTGTGCTGCATATTTCTTTTGATTACCCGTGTATTAAGATTTACAGCAGCGATTCTCAACCTATGGGTCGCGACCCCATTTGGGGTCGATCGACCATTTCACGGGGGTCGCCAAGCAAGGCTGTCCGCCATTTTTTTTGTCCGCCATTTTTCCCCTTTTCCGGCGGGTGCCTTACCTCCCTTGGGCTGGGCCAGCTGGTGGTTGGCCTGCTCTGTCTCTGTCGCTTGCTAGCTACGCCTCGGCCAGCGCAGGGGGCAGAACCACGCATGCGTGGCGCTCCCGGACAGGGAAAGTCCTCGACTTACGACCGGTTGGGTAGTCCTCGACTTACGACCGGTTTAGTCCTTGACTTACGACCAGTTGGGGGTCTTGGCATTAAAAAGGTTGAGAACCACTGATTTACAGTATGTTGTCTACCTTAAGTATGCGCCCCACCACTTGACGAAGTCAGGTGGAGAACATCCGATTGCCTCCATATTATCTCCATTGCAATTATTACCTCCATATCAGCTCTCCAAAGATGACATCCAGGAGAATGAAAATCAAATCTATCACCATCAAACGGTAGAGCTCTTGCCCCACAAAGGTTTCCCAGCACTGTGGAAAGAGAAGCCCCATCTGCATCAGAACAAGCAAGGCAGCTCCTCTCCATTCAGCCTTCCCCGTCATCTTTACGGCAGTCAAACGGACATCGAGTAGCCGGCTAAACCAAACTTAACAAAAACGTAATGCTACAGTTACTCCTGTAGGAAGCTAACAATGCTTAAGGCATTGGATCTCTTTCCGCTTCTGGTCCTTCAGGCTGGAGTCCTGTCATTCTATAAAACTCACAGCTTCTTTGGAGCAGAGACCACCTTTTGAACAGAACAAAGCTTGAAGGGGCAATGGTGTTTCTCGATTCCCACAAAAAGGAGAGAATCACAAGAGATCCCCTTATGCTCTTTGTCTTTGTCATCTTGGCCTGCATTTAGGAGCAAGCTGCTGAGATCATAAGAGAAGGGAACATTAAAAAGTCCTGTGCCAGAAGTTTTGACTCAAAGGGAAGAGACTGAGGAGCCTTTAATACAAATGAAAAGACAGGGAAACGTACTGTAACTTGGAATATACTGCAGCCATATGGGAAGTCTCAGTGGCAACTCTGCACCTTCAGGTATTTATTACTACAGCCTCTTTAACTGCCTCTTAGCTGCAATACTACAGGAGTGCTCAGATATCTCTCCCTGGCATGCAAATATTCACAAGCCTAGTAAAATGTATTTGAACCCCATGATGCAATACTGAATCTATTCCTGCACCAAGAATCCTGTCTCTCTTTCCAGATCTCTCTGCCCATCAGCTTCTCTCTTGTTGGAAACATGCACTCACCAAGCCTATCAGAGCAGAGTCCCTCCCTGCCATGCAGAAAGAGTTTTATAACTCTGGGAAGAAACATCTTGCCTGGGAAAAAGCAGGAGCTCCATTGGGAATACTATACTAGCAAGTCTGGGTTATAGTCTAAAACTCAGGAGTCTTTTTCCCCCTATAAAAATGCACCATAGCTTAGTTTAATAATGCTACAGAACTGGCTGTGTCAAAGGTGGGCATTTGGCAATCTCCAAGTCCCTTTGTTGCTCTTTCCAGTTGCGTGGCAAATTTGGGAAGCCTGATTACCAAACACTAATGAAACACAGAAAATTGTATTCTCAGTTCCCAGATAAGCCTAGCCAAGTTTTAACAAAAGGTGCCCACAAAGAAAAAGTAAACGTCTGCTTCTGCCCACATGGGTGTGTGTGTGTGCCTGCCCATTTCATATCCTCAACCCACTCACCACAGTCTATGCCTCATGAGAAAAGCCACACTTAGTTTGGGTGACCAGTCTTATTCAATGGGAAAAGCTACTCACTGCAGAAACCCTTCATGTTCTAAAGGCCCTTTCTCTCTTCATAACTGGTAGTCACGGGTTGTCATTCTGGTATAGCCCACACTGGATTGACAAAGAGAAAAGCTCTTTTGTTCTACAGCCCCTAACGCCATTTATTCTTGGTTGGCCTAATGTTAGAGGGACAGAGCCACTAACCATTTTGGAACTGTTCCAGGAAGAGTCTTAGTTACTTCAGATCGACACTGACCTGAATCTCTGAAGATGTCACTTTCCAACTCAGCCAATGGTAGGACAGGAGGCCCAAGATGATCATCTTGAGAATTAAATTCCTGGAGGAAAAGAAATAAAAGTATTGCCTAAGAAAAAGTTTGCTTTCAGATCACAGGAATCGTCATCGGGTATCCTCTCATCCTGCTTCTCTTGCCTCCCTCCAGTTGACACCTGGAGCAAGGAAGGCCTCTTTTACCCTGCATTTGCACAAGGAGGTAGAGTGTGGACAGAACAAAAAGAGGGAAGCAGATTAAGCCCCCCTTTTCTGGCTATACAGTAACAACAAAGATACAAATGGCTCTTTTTATTATAAAATTAGAAATTATGTAAACCCTAATTTATCCCACTTCTGCAAGCAGTTTGCCTCTCTTGTCCTATCACATGCTTGTGGACTGCACAAATTATTTTATGGGGAATGGAAAAGGAAGACACTGAGGGATGAACTCTTCCTGTGCAACACTGCTGGTGAAATGGTTTGTAAGTCCCTTTTATACATGGCTAATAATATTGCAACAACGGGATGCAGTTGAGCCCAGTCCACCCTGCATTTGAGCTGTGAGATTTTGCATTACCTGCTAATGGCAACGTACACCCCCAGCACTGGCGATTCCTGTTTCTCCCACGCAGCCAGGAGATTGTAAAAATATGGCATGAGCAAGTTAATGAGAGACACCACCAGAGGCAGGGCCAGGAGCAACAACTCTTTCCCAGCGTGGCTGTTTTTCAAAAGCTCCTCGTGCAGAACCTGGGGAGGAAATCATTCACATGCATTTATATTCCACTTTTTCACTAGGAAATCGAGACAGCATAGAAAGAGTCTTCCCTGGTGCCATTATTCTTTATCTGTATCCCATCTTTATCATTTTTACAAATAACTCAAGGCAGCAAACATATCCAACACACCTTCTTCCTCCTATTTTCCCCACAACAACAACCCTATGAGGTGAGTTGGGCTGAGACAGAGTGATTGGTCCAAGATCACCCAGCTGGCTTTCATGGCTAAGGTTGGACTTGAACTCACAATCTCCTGCTTTCTAGCCCAGTGCATTAACCATTAGACCAAACTAGCTTTCTCACAACCACACTATAAGCAAATTGGGATAGGCTAAGGTGGTTGGCTCAATGTCACCCAATGAGCTCCAGGATTGAGTAGAGATTTGACATACGGTTACCCTAGTTCAGGGGTAGGCAACCTTGGCTCTTTTATGACTTGTGGACTTCAACTCCCAGAATTACGAGTCATAAAAGAGCCAAGGTTGCCTACCCCTGAATGACTACCCACAATGACTGAAGAATTACTGCTTGTTGGAAACAGCCATCTTGGAAAAGGAGCTTTTTTCACTGCAGTTAAGATGGCTGATGGTAGCTCAATGCTCTTGGCCCCAATTATGTTTCTGCTGAAAATAAGAGTTATTTTTTATTCACATGAATGGTTATTTTATAGAAGTCATGTATCATTACTGATAACACAGTGTGTTTGTTCTCTATATTTACAACTCCCATCGGTCAAGCGTGAAATGTTGGCTGAGTGTGATAGGAACAATAAAACAATATGCCTGGACCGTGGTGGCGAACCTATGGCACGCGTGCCACAGGTGGCATGCACAGCCCTCTCTGTGGGCACGTGCGCCATCGCCCCAGTCTTAGGCCTTCAGCTGGGTTTTATAAAACCTTTTCGCTTTAGGCTTCCGCCGCCGTGTGCAAAAAAAAAAGGTTTAATATATCAATCAATTTCAACTTCTCGTGGGAAAAAAAAGATCTCGCAAAGTTGGGATTGATTGATTGAACTTTTTAGTCCCACCCAGTCTGCCGTTATCATGCCCACCCAATTGGCCACGCCCACCCAATTGGCCACACCCACCCAATGGGCACGCCCACCCAGCACCCGATGATACATAAGTGGGTTTTGGGTTGCAGTTTGGGCACTCGGTCTCTAAAAGGTTCGCCATCACTGTGCCTGGAGAATGCAAGGCTGGGAAAGATCACTCTATGTAACAACCTATGCTCTATTACGTCTATTTATTTTCTTCTCTGATGTATAAATTACATTTTTAATCTGTCCAATAATAAGAGCTTTCTGACAATAGATCAACTTTTTTATTATTACTTTTTTCTTCAGTTTAATTGTGTTTTATTTTCAAAGACTGCCGGAATAAGTCCCTGCAGTTTTGTTTTGTTTTGTTTTGTTTTAGCAAGATTTTCTGCTAGGTGCCTATGGCAGTATATAAATGCATGAATCCCAAGACTTACTGCTATTGGTATAAATGTCCTGCGCAGTGGCATCCCCCAGGAAGGATAAAAACAGGCAAGATAGCAGTTGCAGCTATGCAACTGAAGTCTTGCCCCTTTGTACATTGTGTGCTACAACCATCCTCTTGCCTATTTTGACTTCCCTTTCTCAAAGGCTGCCACTCTTGAGCCTTGATTTATTGTATGAGCTCAGAAAATGACCTCATTCTCACGATTCTCTCCCAGGAAGCAGGAGCAGGTATCTGAATAGGGACCCTATTGCTCACATACCTGGTGTACATATTCAGAAAAGTAGTGGATACCAATGGCAGTGCCCGCAACAGTGCTCAGGGATACAGTCCAGGCCACCAGCAAGACTACGAGTTCCTGTAGCTTCTTAGAAAAGCTTAAACAGGATTCCAGCCTCTGCTCAGCCAGACACTCCTGAAAAAAAATGAGAGGAAAAACAGGATATGTATACGCAGAGAGGGAGAAAGAAGGAGAGGGAGGGAGGGAGAGAGAGCTGAGTTCATGATTAAAAGGAATTAAGCATGTGACTCAATAATGAAAGTGTACCAATACAGTTATGTCTTTCACATAAGTACGTTCTCAAAGAAAGAAGTCAGCACTGATTTTTCGTAAAGTAAACCTCTGGAGAGAGACTAGAGCTTCAAAAGTGAACAGTAGGCTTTAAGTGGGAATGTGAGGTAAACAAAAATAGGCAATTACAGGAAAAGACAGGTTTCAGGCGAATTACATTGAAACCTCCAGAGAACACAATGTCTTATCTTGGATGCAATTTACATCTCTCCAGATGCTCAGTACTACAACTCTGAGAACACTTTGCCATCGAGTATGAATAAGCCAGGTTTCCTATTCTGGCCATGTCCTCTCTCCTGTTGCTAAACAGATAAGATGGGAAATTTTTGTCATTGCTGTTGCTGGTATCAACTTTCCATGGAGTAAAATCTACTCTGTGTAGTCAGTGACACATCACTAGCAGTTGCACCCCTTCTCCCTCTCTCTACCTGCCAAGGAAGGGACAGATAATTCCCTGTCAAAGGACTGATTTGACAGCTTGCAGAGACCAAAAGCTGCAAAATTGCTCACTCTGTCTATAGTTTCAGAATTAAAGAAGCACAATACAAGCTGCTGCGTTTTTCTCTTGTCCCCCTGTAAAATGCACTATGCCTATTTATTTCTCGCAGATAGAATTTGTCCTTACTGTAGTATGAACTACAGTTGAGACAGAAAACGTCATAGGTTCAGGACAGTAGGTTTAATTCTTGTTCCCTAAATTGCCCTGTGTCATGAGGGGCAATAAACATTTTAGGCACCATAAGCGATAGTACTATTGTTAGAACGTTTGAGGTAGTTAGCCATAGGGCAGGCATGTCAAACTCGCAACGTCACGTAACGTCGCGCAATGTACCGGGCCGGTTTTGTCATTGCCGGCAATGGGGTGGGCATGGTTTCCACGTGATGCGTCTGGCCTGTGGGCCGGCAGTTTGACACCCCTGCCATAGGGGAAAGAAGAAAATAGCTCAAGCATTCAATTAGAACATAATTTAAAAAATTGTAAGCATTCAGCCGAAGGATATAATAGAAAGTTGGGAATTAGTCTCCTCCTTCTTTGTTTTGCACACTAGGGCTGTAGCAGCAGGCAAGATGGCAGTCTGAATTGACAGCGACTGGCTAACCTACTTGCAGAAAGATTGGTGAAAATGAAGATTTGGATGTATTCAGCATTAAAAGGCTGCAGCATATCTTTCAAACGCACACAAATAAACCTGCGACTTCTCATTTCTATTCTCTGTTTCACTAACATTGGAGATTTTATTTCCCAGTTAATGTAGTTTTTGCATTTTCACAGACTACATAGCTCTATTCAGCACTTACCTTCAAATGTGTGCGAATGTTCTCACTCTGGAGTTGGATTGAGCGTTTCTGAATCATCTTGTAATCCCAGGAACAGAAGACTTTGACTGCCAGATTACTTGATGCACTGCCTACACGGTAACTTTCCCCAAAGGAGTGAGACATACTGTGAGGGGGGGGGAAAGCCATTAAGTATGTACCAGTTAGAGAAGCATCAGTTTTAAACTGTTCTCCAAGGAAGAGGCTTTGTGGTCACTTTGTTAGCTGCCAGCATGGAATTAACAATCTGGTTGAAAGACTGGCAGGGCTGTAGGCAAATTTCACTGTACTTAATAGGTAGGTATGCCTATGTAAGAGTGTAGATAAGCTTAATACTATAAATTTGAGTAAGTTATACCTGAGGCAAGATTGCTAAGAGCACTGGGAAAGATAGAATAGGTGTATATTCCGGAAAACAGGAATAATGTTAAGAGTATTTGATATCAAACCATTTCTCAGAAAAAAAATGGTATTTTGAAAATGATGGCTGTCAAGTTATTTAATTATTTAAATCTGTTTTAAATGATCGTATTAAGAAGTCTGAAATTGTCTTGAAACAATCTACAGTATTTACGTTCAAATAATTTGTGTAAATTCTACAAGAGTTGCAATATAATCCTATGCTGCAGAAATAAGACCTCCCACAAACTCAGTGAGGCTAATTTCTGAGTAACCATTTCTTTTGTTTTCTTAGTGGCAATTCTATAATATATCAGTCTGATTCCTCCAAGATGTCCTACCAAGATCCTTTGCTCTTGGTCCAAATGCCAGGATTCTTGAAATACAAAAGTCTGGGTGAGCAGGAGAGCTTCCTCTCCCTGGTGCTGAGAACCACCAAGAAAAATTAATATTGATAGGTAGGAGGAAACCACTTGGGCTAATAATAAAAATAATGTTTATTTAAATCCTATCTGAAAGAGATGCAAGTACACAGTAAGACCCACAGCCAGGGCTTTTCACAGTAAGACCCACAGCCAGGGCTTTTCAACCAGTGGTACGGGTACCACCTGTGGTACATTGGCACCTGGCAGGTGGTACGCGACCATCCTAGAAAAGTGGTAGCGGGGGAGGGGAATGAGCTGAACCGGTGGCAGCACCGCACAAGCCTGAGCGAGATGGCTGGAGCTGCAGGGTTGTCAGGACTCAGCGGAAGCGCCAGGATCAGTGCTGCTTTCCAGCTGATCGGCGCTTCTTCGGGGCTGTCAGGGCTCAGTGGAAGCGCCAGGATCAGCACCAGGCTCCAGCTGGAGCTCGGCACTGATCCTGGTGCTTCTGCTGAGCCCTGAAGAAGCACCAATCAGTTTGGAAAGCAGCACTGATCCTGGTGCTTCTGCTGAGCCCAGAAGAAGCGCCGATCAGCTGGAATGTTGCAGCATCTCCAGGGTCTTGTGATTTACATTCAGATGCTTGGCAACTGATTCATATTTATGACGGTCACAGCGTCCCAGGGTCATGTGAAGTGACCCAAACCTGCTGCAACCACCCAGCAGACAGGGGGAATAAAAACCAAACACCCCCCCCCGCACCCAATCCTCAACAGAAATGCTCACAATAATGAAAACCTCGGACAGGAGGAAGAGCGCCGCCGGGCACTGTCTTGCTCAGCTGTGGCTTGGGGGGCACTTTTTTCAGTGCCATTGTAACTCTGAACAGTCACTAAGCGAACTGTTGTAAGTTGAGGACTACCTGTACTTTATCAGTTTTTTCCCTTTTTTTTTTTGGTCATCAAGTTTTTGACACCTTGCTAGGTGACTGGTGGTACTCGGATAGTGCCATATCCTAAAAGTGGTACAATGGGTGAAAAGGTTGAAAAACTCTGTCCTATGCAAAGGGAAGAGAGAGAGGCATCTCATCTTACCTGTAGATCAAGAGAAAGCAGGTTCCAAAGAAGGCGCTTCCAGTAACAAAGAGGTAGGCCAGAGGCATATTGTAGGACATCTGGCTACGCATGTGTTGCCTGTAATGGGTGTTATTAGCATCAGGGGCATTAAGTGTGAAATTACTATAGTAGCCGTAATACATTAGTGTGTGACTGAAGTAGCCCTGTGAAGAAAAGAAATTATTGTCAATCCTTTGGAGGGTTATCCTTTCCTGAAGAAGATGGTCCTGGCTGTAACAACACTGAAATATTTCACTCTTTATTAAAATCACAGCCACAGATTATTCATGGAAATGGTCTTACATAGATGACAACATCACACAGAAGTAACCTATACTCCTTGGGCTATTCCAAACACTGTTCTTTTATTTCTGGAACAAGTTCACATTTCCAGAGTATAGACTACAAGTAGAAGCACTGGTAGTGAACGGGCATCTATCAACTGTCCAGACATGTTTCTACAGACTAAACGTCAATAGGTGTGTAGTTTACTGTGACAATAATCTAATCTGTTAGATTGGCAAGCAAAAGTTTGACTCTGGTAAAAGATTATGGACTGAAAGTCAAAGTCAAAATTGACTGACACCAATAGCTTATATTTTTCCCATTCTGTCTCATAGTGCAGGAATCAGGCTTTGTCTGGATTTTTAAACCATCTTTTCAAAGGCTAAGCAAACACTGCTGTGCAACTGAAAAGATTAGAGCACGGGTGTCAAACTTGATCGCGTCACATGATGTATTGTGACGTATTGCAATATTTTTTGCCTTTGTGGAGCCAGGGTGGGTGTGGCCTGCGTGTGACGCATCCAGCCCATGGATCCAGTTTGACACCCCTGGATTAGAGAGAAACACGTCCCTATAAGTATTCAAAACTGCTGGACGATACACTCTATTCATTCTATTAGTAAAGGAAAGCTATTGGATTTCAGGAATACTCACTGATCCAGTCAAGAGATCAAACCCTGTGAAGGCCACACTGTTAGGTATGACAGAAGGGAAAGCAGCCTGCACAACAACTACAAAGACCAGCAGGATCAGGAACATAAAGAGATTGAAGAAGAGCAACGTCCTAAGGAATTGGAAATAGGAGAGGATACTAGAGCCAAAGCGGCCACCGATCTCCTTGAGGGAATAATGCCAGGGCTGGAGAACAGGAATGAGGGACAGCAGATTGTACCAAAAATTCCGGAAGCCCTGCAAGAAAAATAGGATACAGTAGGGTCAACTTCAGATGAAAACATGGCCAGGATGACGATTTTGGAGTAATCACCCAATCCCGTTTATTTGCCACAAAATAACAGTATAGTCCAGTGGTGGCGAACCTATGGCACGGGTGCCAAAGGCGGCACTCGGAGTCCTCTCTGTGGGCACACGTGCCGTTGTCCCAGCCTTGCCTTCCCCCATGACACCCTCCTCACCAGCAGCCCTCCTGGAGAAGGGTCGCCCCTGAGCGTGGCCCACGCGGAACAGTGCAGTCAAGGACATGGCAGCCAGGCAGCGTAGACAAGACTCTGCCCTCATGCCCCATCACGCACAGTTGATGCTGCAGGGCGCGGGCAGAGGGCGTGGCTGCCATGGCGCTGCTGGGTGATCTGTGGCAGGCCTTGGAGGCGATGAGTGGCCCTGCGGGCAGGCGGGGTGGGGGCGGGGCAGGGGATGGAACAGGGGCGGGGCCAGTTTTTGGGCACTCGGTCTCTAAAAGGTTTGCCATCACTGGTATAGTCCAACGTGTGTCAGAAATGTTAAACATGTCACCCCAGCGTTATGAGACTCTCTCAGTCTTATTGTGTCATAAAAGAAATAGGGATTGCAATTACCTACTTGAAGGAGTATTGCAAAAAATTAAACGTTTGAAACAACATTTAGCACAATAGAAATTTGTGGTAACTGGCTCTCTTTTCAAGCCCAGAACACTATTAGCAAAAACATGAAAATATATGGAAAGAGAAGTCTTCCAGGAACTCAGATGGTTGAACTCATGTCAAAGGGAATGCCATACTTCTTTCTCGTCTCCCTCTTGTGCTATAAAAAATTGTTGCTGAAGAGAAAGATTTGCAGCTTCCACTTGGAGCGAAGAAACATCCCGTGCCTCCGAGTAGGAATTATTTCTATTTGCTTGGAAAGTTCTGTTCCTTGGCAAGAGAAGCACAGCAGCCCTCTTTCCTATTTTCCCAAAAGTTCTAGCCTGTTTTGCTGGGCCTGTTTGAACCAAAAGCCACTTTCCCCATCCTGTTCGCCAGAATTTGGCAAACAGCAAACCCCCTGCTTCCTATTCAGTGCAGTACCCTAAAAAGATCCTCCTAAAAATTGCTGATTCCTTCTTGATAAGTATATCAGGAATTGACAAAAAGACCTTCCAGAGTACTTTTCCCAACTCTTTAAATAGTCACAAATTTCACAGAAAGGCTCCAGTGAAAGCTTCCTTTCTCATAGCAGTGTGAGAAAGACACAGGAAGTCCTCTGAGTCTGCTTGTTTCTCACCTGCCACAACAAAAGTTCAAGTGGGGTACAGGGCTTACTATTAGGATGTGGTATTTAATCCAGCTGCAGTAAGACAAGCGACCCGTTGGCTTCAGTTTCCTCAAGGTGCCTGAATGCCCACTTGAATTCTGCCTGTAAGAGAGGCGGGGAGGGAGAGAGGGGGGGGGAGAGAGAAGTGAACTTAAAACATAGCAAAAGTTGTTTTGGGGAGAAAGAGCAGTGAGGTAGATTCTCTCCTCCAAAAGCATCTTATGACCAGTACACTAACCAGGCTTAAAGGCACTAACCTGAGTCTGCGCTTCTCAGCCAAGCTTAGAGGCATCATCTGCAGCATGTGATTCCGTTGATGTACCGGCAGGTTCTGAAGTTCTTTGACCAGCAAACTATACTTGGCTACAGAGGAAGGGCAGAGGTGATCAGAGGTCAGGCAGCCCAACGGCATCTCCAGTGCAGACATTTTGATTATAGCAGTGACGGTGAACCTTTTAGAGATCGAGTGCCCAAACTGCCATTCAAAACCCACTTATGCATCATCGGGTGCCGGGTGGGTGTGGCCCATTGGGTGGGCGTGGCCCATTGGGTGGGCGTGGCTGCAGTGGTAACAGCAGACTGGGTGGGACTAAAAAGTTCAATCAATCAATTCCAACTTTGCAAGATCTTTTTTTTTCCCGCGAGAAGTTGAAATTGACTGATTGATTGAACCTTTTTTTTTTTGTACACAGCGGCCGAGGCCTAAAGCGAAAAGGTTTTATAAAACCCGGCTGAAGGCCTAGGATTGGGCGACGGCGCGAGTGCCCACAGAGAGGGCTCTGAGTGCCGCCTCTGGCACCCGTGCCATAGGTTCGCCACCACTGGATTATAGAAAGGAAAAAGGTTGCTTTCCTTCCTCCACTTTTGATTGGGATCACCTTTTTTTTTTTTTTTTAAGGTATAGGAAAGTGAAAAAAGAAACAGGACTTTCTGTATTAAAAGCAAACATATTGTGGCCTTTCATGGCAAAACCTGACCAAGAAAAGAACCCCTGACAAAAGTCGTCTTCACGGGTTAAATAAGGGAGCGAGAGTACTCCCAGGTCTTCTGGAAGCATCTTCCGTCTCTTTGAGTGAGGAATATTATGATGGCCTCCCCCAAATCAAGTTTGACTCTTCAGGACTTCCTGGATACATTCCCAGTTTCCTTCTCCCAAAATACTTCCTAACTTCTTTTTCTAGCATTTGCCCATCTATGTCCCAATGAGGTCACACCCTGCTTGGGTTTGCAAAATCAGTCAAAGATGACTAGCTGCTCCACCGAGCAGGACATGTTGTAACACTTTGTCACTATATTGTGAGAAGCACTGAGCAATTATAACACCTGGATGGTTGGATCACATATTGAGAATGATCAAGGTGATGTCTCTGTGATTCTCGTAATAGCTGCACGATAAGTTAACTTCTATTTTTCTTGCACGACTTTTCTGTTTAGCAGGCATCTTCCTACTCTTTTTAGTCAACTTACAGTCTTCTTCTCTGTAACTGGAATCCAACTCTAGAGATAGCTGTCGAAAACTAGGCCGTGCAGAACGGGATACTTCCTGGAGAGGAGAACGGTGGCTCCGACGACGGCGTCTGGCAGTGCAGTTGTAATACTGGGACAGGATGGCTCCTCTGCTGTGCCCTGCAAACAAAAGGGAAGACCATCACCATGGAGGGGAGAAAAAGATTGTCCTCTATGCTAATTCCCACATTTCACATGCCCTATCCTGAAATTCTTCTTCAAAAGAAGTAGGGTGGGGCTACAGGGGAGGATCACAACTCACCAATAGTCCGGCTGGGCATTTTGGCAAGGATGCGCAATGTGGTGGAGGAGAAGTCAGGGTGCTCTACTAGCTGTACACCTGGGTTCCAAGCTCCAGTCCGATCAGAGGGAGGAACCAGATTTTCTGGAGAAAAAGAAAAGCCCCAGATGCAACCTCTGCATTGCCAAGTTGCTATGAATTGTCCTGTCAAAGCTGGAATCTCCAACATCTTCCCTTCTTCTTCCTTTGGTGCCCATTCCCCAAATGAGCATATTTTTCCTGAGCATTTTACAACTTAGACCAGGGGTAGGCAACCTTGGCTCTTTTATGACTCGTGGACTTCAACTCCCAGAATTCCTGAGCCAGCCATGCTGGCTCAGGAATTCTGGGAGTTGAAGTCCACGAGTCATAAAAGAGCCAAGGTTGCCTACCCCTGACTTAGACATTCATTCTAAATTTATTTTACTGTTTCCTACAGCAAATATTTATAACATGACAGATTACCAGGTGGACTAAGTCGTTCCCTTTTGTTTACAGGACAGAGATCCTTGTGCCAATACAGTTGTGTATAGGCAGTTGTGTTTGAGAAAAAACAAAAGACTCCAAATCCAAGGTTCACAAATAACAATGAAATGCTCAAAATCAGCTCTATTAGCAACTGTAGGTAAAATTCTTAGCAAGCACTCAGACTCATATACCACATCATAGAGCTTTACAGCTTCTCTGGGCAGTTTTCAATGTCAGCATTATTGTTCCCAACAATCTGAGTCTCATTTTACCAACCTCAGAAGGACGGAAGGCAAAATCAACCTTGAGCCCCGTCAGGATCAAACTCCTGCCTGTGGGCAGAGTTAGCCTGCAATAGTGCACTTTAACCACTTCCCCACTACTGCTCAAAATACAAACACAGCATGAAAAAAAGTCTAGTGCAGAGCCTCTCAGTCTCATCAACACTTTAAACAAATCAACAGAAATGAGTTGTTTTTTGAAGGGGAGGAAAGTAATATTCTAACCTTTTGATTGAGAGGAGAATAATATCCTAACATTCACTGTCCTAATGGACATATGAATCATTTACGTTCTGTTTCAGGTGTTCAAATGCAGCTGCCCCATGAAATGAACCACTGAAATGCAGACAGAGGTTTCTCAGGCTTCTTCCACATAGTCTGCTGACCGTGGCAGGAAGATGCCTTGGTGATTTCAGGAAGACATGGACAAAAAATGCGGTCTTTTCCATATTACAATTTCAAACTATAATCTAACGAATAGTTTTCTTCCCAAGTATAAATCTAAATCCCGAATATTAAATCAGTTAATATCTCTTAGAAGCCTTTTTAACCCATTAAGTGAAATTTTAAGTCCCATTTTTAAATCTGACTCTGGCTTTCTTTTTGTGCCAAGCGGGTTTCCATAACAGCGCTTCTATATCATCAAATAAGTGGAAATGATTTAAAATGAGGAGTTATTAGGATAAGAAATAGAATTTATATGTGAAATAGAGTAAGAATATTTTTTTGGAATAATATGTCTATTTTAGAGATGATAATCACTCTGTAATGGAATAAGAACAAGGAAATGGATTGTGATAATGGAAGATATGGTATTAGTAAATGAGGAGTTATTAGGATAAGAAATAGAACATTAACAATGTAATTTTTGGAACAATATGACTATTTTAGATATCATAATTATTATGTTATGAAATGAGGGAAATTAGGGATACCCGAAGTGTAAACAACATGTTTATTCAAGGCTAAATTGAAATATGGTAATTGGAATTAAGTAAAGCTTAAAAACAGGACTTGGATTGATATTAGTAAAAAAAAAATTTTTTTTTGATAATTGTATTGATTGATTGAACTCTATTTAGAAATGTATTAATTTGAATATGTCATATTAATTGTGGGAAATAGAGAGGGAACTTTTAAGGAGTTAGCCTGAATTATACACGTATGACTTTGTTTTTGGATAATTGATTACCCCATCACCATGTTGTTTCCTAAGCACTTTGATGTAAAAATTGAAAAATTAATAAAACTTGTTTTTAAAAAAATGCGGTCTTTAGCCAGGGGAACAGATTGCCTCCAGAAGTGGTGGGTCACTGGAGGTTTTTAAGAAGAGATTGGACAGCCATTTATCTGGAATGGCACCGGGTCTCCTGCTTGAGCAAGGGATTGAACTCAGGACCTCCAAGGTCCCTTCCAACTCTGTTATTCTATATTCTGTCTTCAGTTCATTCCTGATCCACCAGGAAGACAACCTATGTTTACCTTTCCTCTTCCATTTTTCAAGAGGCGTTTGCAACTTTCTGACACACCGTCAGATGACCTGCAGCACATTGCACTGAGGAAACTTAAAGAGCTGGCAGTTGCTCTGATTGGCCACTTGAGCCTGCTGCAGACATGCCCCTTCTACAATTCTCTGCCCATTGTTTTTTTCAGGGCTATCTGCCTTTGGCAGTAGGAGGATCAGGGCTCTCCCCCTGTGCCAAAGAGCCAGGCTCTCTCCCTTCTTTTGCCTATCAGCCCGATCTAGCAGCAGGTCCCCAAGCCAGCAACACTGGTAGTATGACACCAACTCTTTAGCCACCAATTCTCCCATCCCAGGAAGGAACTCTGTGGCACTGGAAAACGGTTAGGGTGAAGGTGGGATAAAAGTTACTCTTTAGCCACCCCACAGTTAGAATTCAACTCCTCACAGAGCAGGCACAGCAGTTCCTGACAGCAATAGCACTTAGACTTAGATACCTCTTCATAGTGCTTTACAGCCCTCGCTAAGTGGTTTACAGAATCAGTATGTTGCCCCCAACAATCTGGGTCCTTATTTTATCCACCTTGGAAGGATGGAAGGCTGAGTCAACTTTGAGCCAGCCAGGATCGAACTCTTCGTGGTGAGCAGAGTTTGCTTGCAATACTGCATCCTAACCACTGCGCTACCATGGCTGATCCATGGGGCCGGCTGGGTAGATGTGCTTGTGCACCAGGTCAAGCAATCCAACATAAGGCTGCTTCCATGTGGCACCATGGTAAAAGAAGGGGCAGGTCTCGTCTCTTGCTCCAGCTTCTTTTCCCAGGAGTGACATGGGAAGTAGAGCAGACCAAAGAGGCAGAGAATGGCTCCTTTGGGGCAACAGGTAGACCTCATTTAGCTACCACAGTTGGGACTAGTAACTCAAGCATTCAGCAAAGTGGTTGCTAAATGAAACCGCGCTTATGATCTTACTTCAGCTTTTCTTTGCTTTTCAGACTTACAAAAGTCATAAACGCAAGCTTTGGTTGCCAAGTTACTTTCTCATCACCCTTGGTCACTAAATGAGGCAGTTACTAAACAAGGACTATCTATAATTCTGTCTCTTCCAGCAAAGATTCATTCTGTGGCAGAAGATCAAAGATACAATTTTGTGCCATTGTATGCCAACCTCTTCCACTGGCAAATGATCCTTTAATGCTACCATGCAAAACTATTCTTGCTGAGCCACTGGATCCTAAAGGTCAGAAAAAGAAGATAACAAAGTTTTCTGTGTTGGCTGAGTTCTTCCTAGATGGTGGGATCCCCCTGTAGCCCTGGTACTTACTCACTCATAGATCCCAATCTTGGTTAGTTTTCTGGTTCTGATCTGGCCTACCACTGTCTATAGGCTCACCTCTATCTCCAATGCCCTTTCAATTATCTTATCTAGTATCATGTTAATCTTGCGAAAGAGGTTGTTAATATTACTACAACTGCCACCAGTACCATTTTTATAAACAGAACTAGAGCTACATAATTCTGTTATTACATTGCGGGAAAATGCTAGGAAGAAAAAAAATAGAAGTAAGTATAGCAACAGGTATTGGAGGACTTGGGAACATGGCATTTCATCCAGCAGGAGCACAAATTTAAAAAAAAGGTAAATCTTCTGCTATGTAGGCAATGAAATCTTGGGCTTTTTCTGAAATCTGTTGTATGTCCTTACAAAGCTCATAAGGATGAGCTACTTGTTTCCACAGCATCTAGAAACCCATTAGATTAATGGAGAATCAGCTAATAGTATTTTTGCTGTACATCTTAAAAGAATTGGAAGACTGAACTCACCCACTTTTGAAAGCAGACATGGTTTGGCCCAAGATGCTTCAAATTAAAATCCATGCTGGCTATAAATGTATTGGGGAGCTTTCACTGCTTCTGAAGCCAATCTCCCATACAGGGTGGTTATGAGCATAAAATGAGATCATGCATTTATTTTTCACCCTACTTTTTACTGGGAACAGGCTTGTTAAATGTAGTTAATAAGCCAAGGGTTTTTGTTTAGCTATAGGTGTTAGTTGTACAGAGATACAATGATTGAAAAGAAAGAAAATGCTTTCTAGAAAACATCTCTTCATCCATATTTTGTTAAGTTAAAAGCTGCGAGTAACATCAGGTTTTCGCATTGTTGTGTGAAGAAAATCAGGAAATACCACTTAAAAGTTACGTATCTTTCTCCTTCACCCCAGCTATTTATCTACAAATTGAATACCCCTGATAATCATCAGGAAGTCTCTGTGCTATATAGATGTGGCTTGTCTCACCTTTGCTCCTGTTAGTCAGATCTTGCATCTCCATCAACTCTTGTTCAGCCAAACTGCTCTGCTCCTTAATTAGCTGGTGGAAGGAATCATGCACGGCCCCTTCATCATATGGACTTGGGTCTTGGCTGTGGGGAACAGAGAACCGGTCTGCTCAACTGTTTAATTAACAGGATCCCTAAAACAACAGCCTCTAACATCTCACCAACTTCACATGGGACATACTAGAACATTACAGTTCTTTATAGCAAACCATGGCAGAGTCTAAGTCTAAGACACAGGCAGAATGCGTAAGAGGAATGGAAAATAACCAACCAGGTGATCAAATTTGGTTTACAAAGACTTCCCCTCAGGGCCTTCAGAGCCTTATGTAAGCATCTACTAATGGAAACCCAGGAGATCTGCATAATGAGAGTGAAACTAAAGCCTTATAGTTTAAACAATAAACTACAAACGAATAACAAAGTCTTGATTATTACATCTTGGAAAGTAGTTTTATAACATAGAGATTCATTTCAGCATCATATATTTTAGCGCTCTAATAATTGCATTTTATTGTTCTATTTTTCCCCAATTTAATTAAAATGTTAACATATTTCCATCCAAATTCTGTAAATCTTTACTACATAGCTATATACATTTCTAGTATGTTCTGTTCTAAGTCTGGGGAAATGATGATTACCTACCAATCTAATATTGAAGTAGAATGAATCAATCCCTGTCTCTTCCAGAATTTGTAATATATAAATACTGTACTTTTGATCTCTGTGGCTAAAAATTCTATTACTGGTAATAGTAATTTGTGGATCTTAGTACCTGTGGTTCAATAATGGACAAAACATGTTTCATACATTTTAAGGTCAGATCTAAGGCAGCGATATTCAAAACATTTAGAAGCTATGACTAATATTTTCCTAAAACTGTAGACTATTCTGAGAATAATTGAAATCATGGTAGGGCAATTTATGCACTACCCACTTATTCCCAAGGATCTACATTGGAGATTATAAATAGTTCCGATAGTAGAGTTGAACTTTGGGGTCCTTAGCGCTCTCTGAGCTTGGAGAATTTCTTGCAAACATTTCATTTCCAAACTAGGTAACATCATTAGTGCATATAAATAGTCCATTAACTTTTTTCCCCCAATGTTGATAATGATTTGTATTTGTTACTGGAAACTCCTCTCTCCAATTTTCATAAACAGGCAACAGAACTCCCGCACACCAACATTCTTTCCCATGCTTTATGCTAACAAGAATTCTACTTTTAATATTATTCAATATAAAAAAAGAAAAGCCTCATTTTCAGGCTTTTTAAAAGGAGTTTGCTTTAAAATCAATACCTGCTAATTTTCAGCTTTGTACCTACTTTGGAAGTACTCTAACCGTCTAATGACATGCTTTCCGTTTCTAAGGCAGGAATGAATAAAGTTGTTATATACTTTTTTTTAAAAAAAATTGCTTATTTAAAAAAGAACCACACTCACCTGGCAGGATCTCCGTTCTCAAGGTCGTGAAAGGTGAAAGTCACTGTGTGGGACATTTTGATAAATAACTCCACAAGTAATTTGCTGGCCTTTGCACTTTTCAGTTCCACCACATTTCCCAATGCAGGTTACGGGAAGAATCAATGTCACACGAAGCTGGTTCCATTGAGGCAATTCAGGCTCCACATCTTCTAACAAATTCTTTAGACTGTGGTCTAATATCTGATGTCTTCTTATTCCCTCTCAAGATCAGAGAACAGCAGGACACAACATTCAAGCCTATATATGCCATAAAGAGCACAACTTGAGACACACGGAACTGTACTGGGCTTTCCCGCCTCCTCCTACTACAAGATTTAGAAAGTGTGTATCGCAAGAGCAGCCTGGTCCGCTGTGAGCAAATCACACAAAAAGGAAGGAAAACAAGGTCCAAACAAAGGCTGTAATTCAGTCTGTATGCCTGCGTGTCAGACAATGCAAATACAGCTGCTGGTGCTCACACTACTACGTACTTCTCTGACTTTCAGTAGAAAAGCCAATCATTTCTGCAAGGAAAGCAGAAGCTCCCTTGCGCTTACCTGCAGGTGCATCTCTTGCTTCCACTACCAGGAGACTTAACATAAAGTTTCTCTTGACCGTCTCCAATCCTTGTCAAGCAGCCCAGCTGTCACTAGGGAGATAAGGAACTCTGCATTTCAATACTCCAGGATGGGCTAGGCTTCCAAGGGCTAGTAAAACCCAGTTCCTGCATTCCTGAGAGGAGAGTGTGAGTGAACACCAGCAAATGAAGCAACCAAGCTTCCTGCCTGACAGGAAGTTTGTTTCTACCACTGACTGTGCAGGTTCAGGGGACTAAAACTCTCAATAGAGGATGAGAAGAATGAAGAAAGGAAGTGAGGTTGTTGCCTATGAAAGATAAAAACGGAGCATCCTGTCAGGGTTCAACAGCAGGAAACTGCCTGGCTCATTCCCTGCCGCTCAGCTCAGCAAGAGTTGCAACATGCTTTTACTGTGTTCAGAAAGATATTTTGTTTTTGTACAAGACGATAGTACTTTGCTATACTGATAGCGAAGAACTTTATGTCATCTTTGCTTTTTGAAATTATAAATATGTGGTTTAAATATAAGGTCATTACGTGCTCCACTTCTGGGGAAGTGATTAAGTAATTATCTTGACCAGGACAGTTCTTGACTGGGGAATAAAACCCACTTCTGCTTCTCAGTCTGAACTCTCTCACATTATCTATCATTCCCATTAAGTAAGGTCCCACATTCTGGCTGTCTGCAGATCTTAGGACAGTGGTGGCGAACCTATGGCACGGGTGCCAGAGGCGGCACTCAGAGCCCTCTCTGTGGGCACGCCCGCCGTCGCCCCAGTCCTAGGCCTTCAGCTGGGTTTTATAAAACCTTTTCGCTTTAGGCCTCCGCCGCCGTGTGCACAAAAAAAAAAAGGTTCAGTCACTCAATTTCAACTTCTCGCGGGGAAAAAAAAGATCTTGCAAAGTTGAAATTGATTGATTGAACTTTTTAGTCCCACCCAATCTGCCGTTACCACCGCAGCCATGCTCACCCAATTGGCCACGCCCACCCAATGGGCCACACCCACCCAATGGGCCACACCCACCCGGTTTTGGGTTGCAGTTTGGGCACTCGGTCTCTAAAAGGTTCGCCATCACTGTCTTAGGACCTTGTCATGAAGGGTGGGACAAAATGAAACTTCATCAAAATGGCAAGAAAAAGACAAGAGCAAACCAGTCTTGACGTGTTTTAATTTAAAAAAAAAAAGTGATTTTAAGTGGAGCTTGCAACAAGACCTCGCACATTTTTATCTTCTGATACAGGGACAAGGATGGTCCACCCCAGAGGTTGAATATGAACTATCAGACATCTTTGTTCCAGCCTGATAAAGACAGAATCCAAACTTCTGCAGGAACTCAAGAGTGGTCTGAAACACAAATCCTCAAGCCTTGTTATGTATTCGCACGTCCCCTGTTGCAAAAATTGGAAGTCAGCTCCAGCTTAGTCACAGCTTCGGGGCAAAGATTGTTGTGAAGTAGCAGCTTTCAGTGCTTTGTAGAGCCTTAATCTTTTCCTGATTCCAAAACACACAAGGGGTAAACAAAGCTAGAGAGAGTCATGGCTTTGGGGAACTATGGGTGTGGCAATAAAAGTCACAGCAAATTTAGCTTGCCTAACAGCTGCTGTTTTAAGTTTTTCAGAAAATCCTGAAGCCTGAACTACTACTTCCTGATAGTCCAAACTTTAACATACTGGGCCTCAGCTATGCAAGCTGTTATCCTTGGTGAACAGATGAGGCAGCAGCAAAGCTCTGGAACTTTACTTCTTTCCTGGGGTTGATGGCTCTCCCAGTCCTCTTGTATGAAGGAAAGCACCCAATACAGAATGAGCCAAACAGGATTTCCCCAGTACTGGCTGGGGAATTCTGGGAGTTTGAAGTCCACGTCTTAAAGTTGCCAAGGTTGAACACTGCTGCTCTATATGGAATGTCTTTTCACATCCAGCAGATGGCAGGGAGAACATCGCTGCTCATCTCTCGGAGCAAAAAAGCATCCCTTTCTTAACAAAATAACAAAGTTGAAAGGGACCTTGGAGGTCATCTAGTCCAACCCCCTGCTCAGGTAGGAAACCCTATACCAGTGGTTCTCAACCTTTTTAATGCCGTGACCCCAACCGGTCGTAAGTCGAGGACTAAACCTGTCATAAGTCGAGGACTAAACAGGTCGTAAGTCGAGGACTAAACAGGTCGTAAGTCGAGGACTACCCAACCGGTCGTAAGTCGAGGACTTTCCCTGCCCGGGAGCGCTGCGCATCTGTGGTTCCGCCCCCTGCGCCGGCCGAGGCATAGCTGGCAAGCGGCAGAGACTGAGCAGGCCGACCACCAGCTGGCCCAGCCCAAGGCAAGTAAGGCACCCACCAGAAAAGGGGGAAAAATGGCTGACAAAAAAAATGGCGGACAGCCTTGCTTGGCGACCCCCATGAAATGGTCGATCGACCTCATATGGGGTCCCGACCCACAGGTTGAGAACCACTGCTCTATACCATTTCAGACAAATGGTTGTCAAATCTCTTCTTAAAAACTTCCAACAACTTCTGGAGGCAAGTTGTTCCACTGAATAATTGTTCTGTCAGGAAATTTCTCCTAAGTTCTAGGTTGCTTAGTTTTCATCCATTGCTTCTTGCCCTGCCTCCAGATGCTTTGGAGAATAGGTTGACCCCCTCTTCTTTGTAGCAACCCATTAGATATTGGACCAGTTTTCATGGAGAAGGAAAACAATTGCCCCCTAACTTGTTCTGACAGGAAGAAGGACTTGGCGAGAATGAATTGTCTCTCCACAAATTTTTATTTGTCAGGATGTTTGGGGAACAGAAAGACTAGCGGACCAGATGAGACAGGTATATTCCTGTTCAAACCATTAATCATGTTCCTCTTCTTTATTTTCCTAGGTATCACCTGGTTTATTCTATTATAACCTGCTTGGGGTTTTTTGAGCAAACCTCTTGGTCAATGTTTCTCAACCTTAGCAACTTTACGATGAGTGGATTTCAACTCCCAGATTTCCCCAGCCACCTCGCTGGGTAGGGAATTGTGGGAGTTTGAGCCCATACTGGGTTGGTGGTTTCACTTAACCAAAGATTCAGCAGGCTCTGGTACCGGTTTTTCTGCAATTTCCCATGACACTGCCTTTATCTTGTTCCCAACCCATGAGTGAGACAGTCTTAAGTCACCTTTAACTGTACTTGGTTAAATTGGTACTTTCCTGCTTATTATGACATTGCCAGGGGCAACCTGTATAGTTTTCCATTGACTCAAGGCTGTCCAGGAGCAATTCAACTCAACAGTAGCAGCAAAAGAGAAAATCTCTCTTTTTTTAATCAGGTGCACCTCCTTCAATGATGCCACCCACCGTTTTTAATTCAAAGTCTTTTATGCAAATACAGTTGCAGCTAGATATTGGTACTTTCTTTGCAGCACCTCAACTTCCATTTATTGTTTTAAATTAAGTAGAGTATACACAAATTGTTAGATGAATAGGGAACCTGGTGGGTGCCAAGGGAGTTGCCTACTTCTGCTCTAAAATGCTTCATGTTTGATATGAGCAGTGTTGAGTTGTTCTTTTTTATGAAAGTTCAATTTATAACCCATTACCCCCAGCAGACCCACTAGCATGACTAGTGACATAGGGATTACACATAAATGTCAAGCTTCGTGTTCTTTTACTTCTGCACAATGCAAGGAGCCAGCTGCTGAGTAAATGATATGCATAAAATGCATTTGCTTGCCCGTCATGGCTGCCCGCCTTCCCAATGAATTAGAAGCCTTTTGTCCTGCTTTGGCACCAATTCAACTGAATAGCAAAACTTTATCTCTATCTAAGCCATTCAAGGAGATGTACTGTATATACTTTTTTCAATCTGATTTGGAGGATACCTGCTGAGGAGACCCTTGACCTGCACAATAAAAATTATCTGTACTTTCCCTGTTTCAATAATATTTTGAGGGAGGTGTCTTCAAGTGGTTTTGCCATGCATATATATCATAGTTTATAGGATTCATAGTCTTCTCCCCTCCCCCAATCTGCTAGTGAGCCATGCTATTTTCTCTCTTAGAAGAAATACCAAAACCCAGATCAGATTGTTTTGCTCAAATTCAGAAACAAAGTGCAATTGAAGATCTTTGGCAGAAACTACACCAGCTAGTGTGGCCCAAATCTCAATGAATTTTGCATCATTTATTGCTGGCCACACAGGGGAAGAATGTATAATTGGCATGGCCACTGCTGAGCTCTAAGGAGTCAATCAAGATTCAGCCAGCCAGCTCATTGCCCTAGGTCATTCTCCCTTTCACGTGTGCATGAACATATTATAAAAATAGTGTGTGGGTACAAGAGAATGAGCTAAGAGAAATTAAATGCTTTGTTCAGAAAGATTATATTCCCATAAATTTATTCCACAGTGCATATATTGTGTAGTGAAACAAAAATGTTTTAACTCTCATAAAATAACCGGACTGCAGTTCTATACTTTTGTCAGTATCTATATGGTATT